TATGCAATTACATTTTTTAAAATACTGAAGAAATTGTAATAAAGAATGATAACCTGAGAGTTTATCTTTGCCACACCTGGCAACAATTTAAGGAGTAAATGTTGACTGCTAGTAATTTTCCAGTAAATCTCATTAAATATTTTGGTGCAATTGCAATAGAATTACAATCTCCAATTTATATAGTTTCCCTCTATACATTATTTCATTTATTCTCACAATACTTAAATTTCAGCAGTAGAAAAGCATTTTGGAGGTAAAGAAATATAAACATTGGTAGATTAAATATTTACTTGTCTTCACTGTTGGTATAAAATCAAGAGATCCTCTTACTTTTACTCCTCAATCAACTGTATGACCAAACAGAAGCAGAGTTTAAATTCTCACACTGTCATAACCTGGTTGTGCATGATTAAAGAAGTTCCACAACTTTTTGTGTCTTGGTTTCCTTATTTGTTCAGAATAATACCTCATATAAAGGATTATTAATAAGGTTAAATGGCACACTGTGTGAAAATATCAGATTTAGGCTCCTAGAGGCACTTAATAAATTATTATAAATATTTTTTCACTAAGTGAAAACTCCGGCATTTTAATAGTATAAATTAAAATAATAAGAAGAATTTCTTGGGCATCAGTATTGCTAAGAAATGGTTAAATTGTCTTTTATGATTCTAATAAGTGATTGATTGGAGAATGGTTTGTCTGAGCTGAGAAATGGAGATTATAACTATTTCTTTGAAAATTCATGGTCATGTGTTTAATGAAAAAGATTATTTAAATATATACTTTAATTCTACACAGCAAAGAAAACAGTTTAGAGTGTACAGAGAGAAAACATTTATCAGCTACTCTCTTGACAGAGGATTAATATCCAAAATACATAAAGAACTCAAAAATCACCAAAAAAAAAAACCCAATCAGTAAATTTGCAAATGAACTAAACAGATATTTCTCAAAAGGAGAAATATAAATGACCAACAAATATATAAGAATGTATAACATCTTTAGCAATCAAAGAAATACAAATCAAAACTACAATGATTGTAAATTAGTATACATTGTCGGTAGGATTGCAAATTAGTACAACCCCTGTGGAAATCAGTATGGTGATTCCCCAAAAGATTAAGACTGTAATCACCATATGAACCAGTTATTCCACTCCTCGGTATTTATTCTGAAGAATTAAAGTCATCATACTACAGTGATGCATGCATACTCATGTTTATAGCAGCTCAATTCATAACAAATAAATTATGGAATGTATCTAGATGTCTATCAACAGATGAATGGATAAATAAAATGTGGTCTCTACACACAATGGAGTTTTACTCAGTCATGAAGAATGGAATCTTGTCATTTGCAGGAAAATGGGTGAATGGGAGAACAGCATGCTAAGTGAGATAAACCAGACTCAGAAATAGAAGAGGGACCAGTAGAGAAAGGGCACTGGGGGGAGGGAGGAAGAAAAGTAAAGGGGGAAGTACAGAGAATGAAATAGACTAATTTATGCTATGTGAATGTACAAATATATAATAGCAAATCCCACTATTATGTATAGTTATAATACACCACTACAAACTCAAAACAAATAAATATATGCTTTACTCTCAAGGATGCAGTTTTTGTTGTAGTTATTGTTTTATTTTACTCATTCCCTGAAAATTTTTTCCCATATTAAAAAAAAAGCTTAGAAATAGCAGTTATTCGTAGAAAGACCTGCAGTCACTAAGTCTTAAAAGTTTGTTAAAATTCTGATAATTCACTTAGCTATTCCTTTTGGTACCCTTCTTAAGTATAAAATTATTAGATTCTAGTATAGGAACTAGAAATTGGACATAGAAAGAGAACACTTAATATTAACAGGATATATCATCTTATTCCTATAAAAAGCCAGATCAATATACCCTTTTGTGCAAACAAATACAAGTTAATTTGTTTCAACTAATCTTAAATCTTGATCCATTTGCTTAAAACTTGGTTTCATTCTAGCTGTGTGCAGCATGACACAAATACAATGAGCATTTAAATATTAGCTATGCAGCTTATAGCCTAAGGAAGCATAAACATATTATCTTAAAATAAATTCTGCTTATAATGAGGTTGAAACGAGATTCCTTTGTATACAAAGAGGCATTTTCTAAAATCACACCACTGAAAACTTCGGTATAAGGGTTTGACTAATCAAACATATAAAGTGTTTCAGGTTTAAAAATAATAAAATTGGCTCTAAATGTTTTATGGAATAAAAATAATAGAGCAAATATTCTTTTACCTAATAGCAGGTTAACAAAAGTATATCAAAGTGAAGTTCAGCCAGGAACAGTTGTACATGCTTGTGATCCCAGCAGCTCAGGAAGTTGAGGCAGGAGGATTGCAAGTTTAAAACCAGCCTCAGAAATTTAGTGAGGCCCTAAGCAACTTAGTGAGACAGCATCTCAGAATAAAAAGAAAAAACAAAAATGGCTGGAGATGTGATTCAGTGGTTAAGCACCTTTGGATTCAATTCAATCCCTGGTACCAAAAAATAAAAAAATAAAAATAAAAAGTGTAAATCTGAAGCTGCTTAATTTAATTATTTTAAGAATCAACATCTGTACCTTGCTTTTAAAGAATTCCTTTTAGTGTCTGCCAAAAACTAAAAAATAAATATTAAAAAATTTAAAAAAAAGAATTCCTTTTAAAATCAGCTTATGTATTTTTCAAGCTCCATAATTAAATTTTACCTTCATTGGGATGGGTCTCATCTGCATTTTTTGATTAAACAAGTTCATTAGCAAGAAGTTTTTCAAATAGATATGAAAAAGATACATGATATACTCGATTGCCTGTATCTTTAATATTATCTTTTTATATTACAAAATGCCTTTGGCAAAAAAAATAGAATGATAATTTTTATATTATTTTTGGAGATGATGCTCTAGAATTCCACTAATAGGCAACCACCCTTTTATTCATCTTTCCATGCACTATCATTATATACACCTTATGGAATAATAATGAGGTAGCTTTTTCTCTTAAATTAAATTTGAAAACTGGGTCAGGTGAGTATTTGTATGGCAGGGTGGGAGAGATGGTTGTATTTCTAAAAAATAAATCTGATACAGCACAAAAACGCACCCACTGTTTTATCAAGCATTTGTCGAGCTCTGTAAATATGTATGTGATACCACATGCATCTGCAGTAGAAAAGGGAGGAGGAGGAATATGAAAAACAAGAGGAACAAGAATAAATAGTAGGTATGCCTTTATTCCCCCATTTACTCTGGTTCTAGCTTAATGACATCTAAATGTGAAGACCAGATGATTCGTCATATGACCACATTACTAGCCAATGATCTTGCCTACAGAGCCGGAGTCAAGCTAAGGCAATGCAGCACCCAAGCAATTGAGATTCCCAAAAACTACTGGCGCTTTTACATTTTAACAATATAATTTTTCAGTTTTAACAAGGCATAGAAAAGGAATAACACAGAACTGGATGCAGAAACAAATCAGAGTAAGGCCATACTTTTTAGGTGTGTGCATGGTACTCCAACTAATCAAAGTTGCTAGGTCACAACTGGATGCTGAACAAGCACTTCTGGCCAAGAAATAATATACTGTGTTTTGGAGAACAAAAGATAAAAAAGACATAAACATAGGAAATTACTTTATGTAGTCATGTTCCATTTAGAGAATTAGAAACAGAACTGCAGTAGCTGTCAAGAAAGAAACCAACTTCCATAAAAATGGTCAAAAGACTTTTGATATTATAAAAGAGAATTAATGCACCCTTGAAACAAGGCCTTTTAAAGGTCAAACAGTATTAAAGTTTTCCCCAAAAGGGAAATCATTATGTATTGCTAATTTTATTTGTACAGCCCACTAACAACAATCTGATCTAACCAGTAGTAAAATTGAAATGTGCAAATCCTTATGCAGTAAGATCTCAACTCAGTGTGGGTCCTTGAGTATCTCTCTAAAAATGAGGCAAAAACAATATTCCCCAAATGCAAAGGTAAACACGTCTGTTATAGAAGAAAAAAAAACAGAAAGAAAAATCCATTGAGCAAATGGATTACTAAGCATATGTATCCCTGGTGCATCCTTAATCCCAGAGCTATGTTTAACAACAGCTTGTGTACAAACCACTATATCTATGATCTGCTAATGTAATATGCCATTTATCATCTTCTGAAATTATTCAGTGACCTACTTTGTTAATTAAAGCATTTAACAGAGAACTCTTCCTTTACAGATCCAGACCCACTGGTAAATGAGTAACTCAGTTCCATCAATTTATGAGATTATTTATATTTTAAAGGAGAAAAAAAATCACTTTAAGGGAAAGAGAAGACAATTCTATAGTTTAACGTAAAGGGAATTTCATTCCTTTGTTTAACTTGGCGTTTTTGTTTAATTGTCAAACTCAGAAAAGAAAATTATGGTATTAATGATAGAAAACCAAAAAATAGAGTTTTATAAATGCAGAGACACAGCTCACTGCATCAATATTTTGAGCGCATTTTGACAGTGTCAACTGTCAGAAGGGAAAAGAGTACATAAAACCTGTGGTTTGTTCTTTACCTGAGGTTTACAGTCACTGAGGAGACAGGTGCTAATGATCTAGTAGTAGAGACAGGGAATGAGGAAAATACCTTAACCCTCCAGCCATAAATCAACCCTTTCCTTCTTCTATGACAAGTGCTGAATCTCTTGGAGGGAGAAAGCACCTGTCTCTGAGATCGAATAAATTTAATTGAGAGGGTAAAAAAAGGGGTTAATTGCCCGAAGGCATATTTTGCTTTGCTTGGTTACAGCAAAGGAAATCCACTCTGCTCAGGCATCTCCTCCCAATGCAGCAAATGTAGGCATGAGCTCTAGGCTGCAAACTGAGCTTGGAAATGATGCAAGGGAATGATGGAGAAAGGGAGGATGAAGTTGCCAGTTCTGAGGCTGATGGTTCCACAGAACTGGCAACTTCATACAGAGGGAAAAGGTTAAAGTGATGCTCCCCATACCTTTCTTTTCCGTTCCATACGGTCTCTGGGGATTTTCCGTTGTTTTTTTCTCTCTCTCTCCAGATTTTTTTCCTTTTCATCCAGTTCAGCCTCTCGAACTTTTTTAATAGAAGCAGCAGCGTGAGCCATTTTGGAGGGGAAATCAGCAGAAGCAGTTGCAGAGGATCAGTTTCCACTCCCCAACAATCCAGGTGATTTGAGAGCTATATGGAGATGTGATTTTCCCCACCAGAGCAATGGCTGGCAGCCAGAACACTCACAAAATAATCCACTCCGCCCCCGAGCTCGGTCATAATCTTGCTCCAGCCTCTGCAGCACCCATAATTCACTACAGGGTACCCTGATCCCAAGCGGAGTCCCTCAGCCGCACACACCTGCACGCACACAGAGGCATAGGTGTGCACCCACCCTCAGAAATGGTCCCAGGGGAAGGCGGAGCACTAGACTTGGAGCTCTTCAGCAGTTGGGTGGCCGCAAGTGCAGACAAGCATCCTACTAGTTGCAAAAGCCTTCCTTAGACACACATCACCAATTGGAACAGTCTTGGGGGACTCCTCCAGACAGTCTGTGTCTTCTGACTGGAGCCAGGAAGAGGCCACCTCTGTGAAACTGCTAGGGGTGGGTAGTTTATTGCCGCTTCCAACCACACCTCTATGCAGGGTGGGAAGAAAATGGTGCAGTCTCTCGCTAAAGGACTCACTGCTGCTGCCGCCGCCGCGGTGCTGCTGCTGCTGCTTCTGCTGTTGCTACGGGAGGCTCTGCTGTAGCGCATGACAGGAATCCCTGCCTTTTAAATCTCCCAGCCCTTCCCTTCCTTCTCCAAGGTGCATTTAAAGAAAAGAATCAATGCTGCTGTTTTTTTTGGAGAAGCCCGCAGAGTTGGAGTTACTTGCCATTCCCGTGGCAACACCGGGATGAACAGGTCTGGGAAGGGATAGCCGGCGTTGGCTGTGTGGTTTCCAGACCCACGCAGGCTGCTCTGGGGAGCTGCATTAAGCAAGGAATCGAAAGGAGCTGTCAGTGAGCACAGGGTGTAATCTGGGCTCAGCAGGGTAATCCTGGGAGAAAGAGGGGGGCGCTCAAAAGAAGGAGAGGAAGGCAGGGGTAGAGAAAGGGGACAGGGAAAGCACACACCGTCTAAACCGCTCTCTCTCTAAGAAGGGCACACAGGTTCTGGATACTCATTACCAAAGGCGTTGGTTATAGATAAGTTAACAGGAAAAGCAATGTGATGGAGTAAAGCAAGATTAAAATTTCTGGATGTTCATGCAGGGAATGGCTATGAAAGAAGACAGAGGATACAACCTGTTAACTCAAGAAAATTAAATTATCCATCATAACCCAGTTGCATATACTACCACATTTTCAGAATTTTGCCACAATTTTATCAAGGGCCAATAGGATGTCAAGAATGGCACTCGCAGAACCGATGTGATTCTGCAATCCGTATTTGGGGTAAAAATGGGAGTTCATAACCCACTTGAATCTAATGTATGAAATATGATATGTCAAGAGCTTTGTAATGTTTTGAACAACCAATAAAAAAAGGAAAAAAGAATGGCACTCGCTTCTTAATAATTCACTCTTAGCTGGAGGCAGAGTCACACACTTTGTGACCCAAAGTGGATCGTGGACACCACTCCAACTTTTACATTTTAGGAAAAAAATCGTAATGTAAATTATTAATTTAAATTATTAATTCAAATCAATTAATGTATTTGAGTCTGCATATATCCTATTATTACTGAAAATTGTTTTAAGTATTGAAAGTGTTCTCTTAGAAAATGATGGTTTTTGTAGCTAAATGAAGAATATCAAGTCTCATTTCCTGTACCGTAAGAAGATAGCAAAATAGTAACTCTTCTCAGAGGGAAAAATACTAATTTTCTCTACTCTGGGTGGGCCCTAGATGTTTTAGCTTAGGTAACATTTGAAATTTTTAGGTAAATTAATAAAATAGTAAATTAATAAAAATATCCCACAAGCAAGTAAAATGCATTCCATGGCAGTACAGAGAAGCCAGCACTTCACCTGATGCAAGTAATGTCAAAGGAAAGAACAATCACCAGGGCATGGGCAGTGTGGCATTTGGAACACGATTGGTCACAGGTCATGCAACTTGCAGCAGGTTGAGAAAGGGAGAAAGGGAAGTAAGTTCTCTTATGTTTGGGGTATCATTCTTCTTAGATCTGAACAGCTGAGAATTCAGATTCCAAAAAGAAAATAAACCAAATCAACTTCATTATTACCTAACTCCTTTCTCTGGAAAGTCTTACATGTTTACACAGAAACACACCTGAACACATGGCATGTGTTTCCTTCTCCCAGGCACCACAAGAAAACCAACTATTGTGGTGCCCAAACTGTCATTAGTCAAAAGTGATGCAAGGAGGCAGCAAGACTGGAGCACGGGATATTCTCAATGCCACCTGCCAGTCTCTTTTCTCCAAGTACTTAAAAAAAAAAAAAAAAAAATTGCAACAAGCAAGTCACATGTGATTCACGAATATCCTTTCTTGGTTTAGTAACAAGAGTCCCAATAGAATGTGGGGCTGAGTCTCCTACAGTGTTTTTTCTGTTGATGAGGGTGACTGAGAGAGTTCTTCTAGGACAGACTCTTCCCCCTGTCTCATAGTATCTGCTCACAGCATCTCATAGTATCATCTACCCATCTGATTTCTCAGTAGGAAAGTGAAAAATCACAGGCACAGCTAGAGAAGAAAGTAAGCAGTGTCCGTTATAAATTTTTCTTAAAATTTAAGAAGTACTTATTTCATTAGCCTTTAATGAGCTCAATAGAGACCCAATTGTAAAATTGGGCAGCCTCAATTTAATTATGCTATTTTGTAATGCCAATAAAATTTCACAGTTTTAAAGTTCAATTTGATAACAACAACAACAAAATGCTTAGACATGCTTGAAGCAATCTTGTCTCCAGGACTCCCTTCAACTTTTCACAAAAAAAGTATGAGAGTTCTTTGCATCGATTCATCTCATGAAGAAAGATAATGAATCAAATGTTAGCTGAATATTAGCTTGACTGACATACATATTGTACAAAGCACTGTGTTTGCCAAATCTTTAAAAACTTAGCTTACTTTTATCAAATAATTTTTGGATGTGCCCCAGAGAAGCAAAGGAACTGTGTTTTTACAGATGAGGATGCTAGAAGGCAATGACTTGTGCCATATTGTTTTTCTTAGGACAGCTTAACGGCAGGAGGACTGAAGTTCAGGACTCTTAAATCAACCCACCTTGAAAGGAAACCACTCAGAAAGTCCCCACTGTGGTTTGTACCATCCAAATCACAGAACAAAAAATCTCAGAAAACTAGAATCAACTTTGAAAAGTTCTTTCCGGGTGTGCTATTTTAATTAATCTGTTCCCCAGTGAAGGAATAGATTGCTCCCATATGAGATGTTTAGCAGCTCATAATCCTTTTTCAAAAGCTAGACTGAGTAGACATTCCCACGCAGTGATAACTCTCTCTAAACTAACTTATTCAATAGTGAACTGCGAGAAACTGATTTTTAAAAAATCATCTCTTCTTGCATACTTCTGTTGCTCACACTTTCCTGTGATTTCTGTTTAGATAGGGAAAAAAAAAATCAGTATCAGTTTTCCCAGCAAAGAGAGCAGTGCTCACTCACCAGATGACCTCTGCACAGACAGGGCACCAGTTTCCAGTCCCAGGAGCTCACAGCCATTTAAATGATGCATGCACCACATTAAAGGGGGTCTTCCCATCAAGCCTCCAGCAGAGACATAACACTGGCTGAGTTCTGGATTTGTAACAAGAGCTGATTCCTGCCACAAAGCATCTTGACCATCAATGGGCAAAGCATGCGTCTGCCATCAAAGGTAAGGAACACGCTGTCGTTTACGTTTAAACTTGAGAGCCAGCATAGAGAGATTGCCCTTTGGAGAGGACACACTTCATTTTTAAAGACAGGAGCAAAAATGGTCATTTGCTGTCTTCATTATTCAGCACTCCATTGATCAGAATCCAAAGAAAATCCTCTGCAGACATCGGGCATCAGTCAGGGTAGTGTTCAATAACAACTGACCTAGCCATATGCAACTTAATCCCCCTTCTCTCTCCCTGGCCCCACCCAGGAAAAGCAGCTATGCAATTGAACAGCATATATTGTCACTCTATCACCACAGAGTGTGGGTGGTATGTGGGGAAAGAAGCAGATGCACTACAAAGGCAGTTAAAACTCACCTAATCAAAGGAAGGAAGAAAACAAAACAAAAAGAATGTGCTCCCTTGAGCTCTGAGCCAAGAGTTGCTCCTAATCAAGTCAATGGTATTAATTCATATTTGAGAATTTTGTGTGTTTTCTGAGATCAATGGGTAGGAAAGCAAACTAAATGACTGCAATGGCTCCACTCCCAATTTGTATTACCTGAAGCCAAACCAAGGAACAAACTAATTTGATAGTGTAAAGTTACTAAAGCAGAGCTTGCAAATAATGTAAGAGATCTTACTATATTTTGATAACAATGCTTCTATAAGGAGATGATTTGGCTAAACACGAGAGCCATCTTCCTTCACGTCGGCCTGAGGAAGGGAAGCAAGGACAGACCACCTCCCAACCCAGGCAGCTTCTCAGGGAGGGATGAAGCAGCAGCAGTTTCCAGACCCCCATCTTCCTGCCTCAGAACTAAGCTCCAAAGCTTCTGGAGTTTCACAGAGATTTTCTAGCTGGTAACAATGGAAAGCAGAGGAGGAGTGAAAAGCTTCCCTCTGGAGGCCCTTTATATAAAGAATATAAAAGCCACACAAAGTGTAGGTCATAAATAGTTGCCGTTTTGTCACCACAGACCTCCCTCCGCTATGACAGGGAGGATGCTCTGGGGATTACGGGCAGCAGATGGAAGGGGAAGGAACCCACAAGGCAAAGTTGAAAAGGCCACAGTTCAGAAGGAAAAAAGATTTCTACCTGCAGCCTGTCTCTTCCTGCATCCTCCCAACTCTACCCCCAAACCCCCTCAGTCCTTCCCCAGGTATGAACCCAGATGAGGGGGACCCAGCCTAGCCTGTGTGAACTGGATCTGCCTGAGCCAACCACTGGATTTGCTCACTGTGCAAAACTCTTGTGACAGAAAACTCCTTCACTAGAGCGTCTTTATTTCCTGTGCTTATTTTGACAGGAAATAAAGAAATCAGTTCATTCAGGAATCAGAAAAATTCCACAATGCTACTATCTTTCTTTTTAAAACTTAGATTGAAAGTATAGGGATTCTTCTTCAAATTTGCCTTTTAAAACATTCTTTTGTTTAAAATAGGAGTTTTCTGCTGGGTGTAGTGTCACAAACCTATAATCCCAGAGGTTTGGGAGGCTAAGACATGAGGATTGCATGTTCAAGACCACTCTCAGCAGCTTAGGGTGGCCCTAAGCAACTTAGTGAGACCATCTCAAAACAAATTAAAAAAAAAAAAAAAAAGGAGGGTGGGGATCTGGGGATGTGGTTCAGTGGTAAAGTGTCTCTAGGTTAAGTCTCCAGAAAATACCATCCTCACCCCTCATAAGGCTTTCTCATTATCTTTACCTCAGTGCTGTACAGTTTCTATCCAAGGTGCTCTCTTTTGATGGAATCTAGTCCCAGAAGACCTACTCTAAACCAGTTCTAAGAGTTGGAGATGCAGTAATAAAAACAGCAAAGCTCTTTCTTGCCCTCACTGAGATGGAAATCCAGTTGTAAGTGATTATGTACTGACTTTTTGGGACATCTCAGCCACTTCCTACAGTCTGCAGTGACTATAACTACTGACGTTCAGATTTTCAATAGAAAGCCACCTCAGAATCTTTAAAAGCTTGCTCTCAAGTTTCAAAATCCTTATAAATATCTTCAAATGTCTTCTCAGTACTTCTCTGTTCCCATAAATGATATTTTATTCTATGGCTTACAAATATTTTTTCCCCAAAAGATGTACTGATTTT